TCTTTACCATCTTGAATCGTGATGTGGAAGACATCTTGGACGTCTTCTTCAGTGCTGTCTTCTCGAGCTTGTTGGCATGAGGATTGTCCGGTGTGGATGATAGTACGCCTTTTTACTTTCAATGGTTCATTTGTGTCAACCTCTAAGATTGCTTAGCACTTCATCCTTGAAGGAATCAAGCTTCGAACATCGCCTTTTTCTTCTAACCCGTCGAGCTTTTCGTCCTTTGGTGTTGTCTTCCTCTTTCTAGAAGGCTTCTCATTATCTTCAAATCTTTTCGAAGCTAACCATCGCCAAGGAGAGCTAGCTGTGTTGCTTTGGTTCTTAAGTTTTGACAATCTTTCAAAAACAGAGCTTTGGGATGTTGACACGTTAAGCCTCTTGAAGACGGAGGTTCGGTCTTGACTGCCAATGCGATTAAGCACTGAAATTCTGGGTCTTGAATGGCTCATCCTATCGAAGACTGACGTCCGAGGAGCGAGTTTGGGCTCTTCTTGGTCTTGTTCAATGCTCACAGCTGACCTATTGAGCGCTAGTGTTTTTCGCTTTGTTTGAAATCAACACGGGTGCATTTGGTGTAAAGCCAAGTCCAGCTTTGCTGTTGTCAACCCCATAACCATGCTCCTTTAACTTCTTTTGAGTCTTGGTGAGGTTACGTTCTTTGTCGCTGACGGTGTTTAAAACCTTCTTTCCAGGATTAGAAGAGGAAGCGAAGTCATACCCAGCCTTCGATATGAGTTTGTAGGTGTTTGGATCAAAACCTTCATCGGTCCTCTTGGTTGGAAGAAAGCTTGATTCCACCCCTTTTGGTAGAGTTTTTTTAAAGCCTTGTGGTAGTCTTGCAACCTTAGCACCGCCTAGCTATGTCAGAGGCAAAACTGCATTCGTTTTGAGCAACTTCACATTATCCTTGTGCCATTGTGTATCGGCTTTTCTTGCTCCAATTTCGAATGAAGATTGACCATTCTTTCTTCTTGACATCGGGATGTATCGGAATATGGGTGTGTTCAGTCATTTTGAAGTCGTCCTACACCCTTTGGTTGTTGTAGGTTTAGTAAGCACGTCATCGTCTTTGCTTGAAGATGGCATAGCTTGCCTTTTTTGTGTTTTAGGCATGGCTTGTCACTCCTGCTTTTTAAGTGCTGCTTTGCCCATGGATCTGATCTCTTCTGGAAGAGCTTCGGGCACCATGTCTTCCTTCATGTAGAACTTGGCGTCTGCAAAGTGTGATTCGGCTTCGGTGAATGGTTTGGTGTCGCCTTGGATCACCTTTACAAATTCTCGGTAAAATTTTAAGCATTGGTGAAGGATGGACGATACTACCCCATTTGCGTGGATCCAAGGTCTTCCTAAGAGCAAGCTATAGGAAATTCTTGCATCAATCACATGGAATATCGTGCTTGATTTGTCACCAATGGTCATCTCCACTCGGATCATACCCATCGCCCTTTGTCCTCCCTAGTTAAAACCCTGGATTAACAGACGGCTTAGGGATAATTCATCCACCTTGATGCCGGTTGTGGTCATTGTTGATTTTGGCATGATGTTTATGACCAACCCACCATCTACAAGCATGTGGTTGACTTTGTGTTCCCTTGCGTACCCCGAGACGAAGAGATGATGGTTGTGAGGCTTTGATCCCAGCAATAAGTCTTCGTCAGTGAAGTTAATTGAATCATGGGTGACACAATATGTGGCACATTCATGTGGCTGAAGCTTCAAGTCTTCATCATTGCCTTCTTGCACTTCGTGGTCGCCGGGACTTGCCAAGACTGCTGCTAGTGCTCTTCGTATCTTTTTTGGCAATTGTAGCATTTCCTCGATGCTAAAGTGTGTTGGCAAACCTTCTTTGGGTGTGAGGGTATTTTCTACCTCAATGGCGATAGCTTTGCCTTTTGAGAGCTCTTCTATTTCTACTTCAACCATGTGACAGGCGACGGTAGTGCATTGTTGGAAAAAGTCATTCGGGAAATAATCGTGCAAGGAAACGGGAATGCGTGGCTCCTGCTTCATAGGTTCCCCAACATATGTTGTCTTATCAACTTTTATGTTTCTTTTAGGCTTCCCATTGTTGCAGCGATGGTGATTTCCTCTTTGTTTTGCCTTTGGTTGTATGACTCGTGGTTTTGGCTTCCTTGTCTTTTTGTAGGTTACCAATGTCCATCATTCTTCATCATCGGTATATGCATCTTGATCGCTTCCCCCCCCCCGGTGATGGTTGTGCAGGAGGTGCCGTGCAGCTTGAGCATTCACGGGAATGGTTAGGTGCCGCTTGGAATGACATGGGATCGAACGATCCAAACGCAATTGTAGTGATATGCGTTGCGGCCATGTCTTCAAGGTCGAGCTCAATTTGCCCTTATTGTGCTAGCTTCATGATGAGTTCTTTAAGAACGAAGCACTTGCCAGCAGAATGGCTCACAATACGATGGTACTTGCAGTACTTAGGATCATTTATGTGATTCATCTCTTCAGGGCGCTTGCATTCGAGTTGCTCGATCACCTTTTTTTCCAACAAGTCATCTAACATTGCAGCCATGTCAGAGTCAAGAAAAAGGTACGTTTTCTGTTCCAGCTTCCTCAAGGTGTTCTTGTACCTGTCTTGGGTACGAGAAGACTCACCTTTCTTTATCTCATTCGTTTTCTTCTTGGAGGAGATCTTGATGGGGCGCTAAGGAGGTCTTGATGGGGGTAATGTTGACGGTGAAAGCTTCTTTAGTGGGCCTTTTCCCAGTCTTGTCTACATGTGGGGCGAACACTTTATCCTTCTTGAAGTTAATATTCGGCTCATTCTTCCCGTGATTGGCGATACTCAGCTTCATGTTGTGGGAACGAGTTAACAGCTCCTCAAATGTTCTCAGTTTTATGCCTTGGAGGATATAATGTAACCCCCAGTGCATGCCTTGAACGCACATCTCAATGGCAGAGGTTTCAGAAAGTCGATCTTTGCAATCCAGACTTAAGGAGTGCCATCTATTGATGTAGTCAACGACAGGTTCATCCTTCCACTATTTCGTATTGGTCAGCTCTAGCATGCTTACAGTGCAGCGAGTGCTGTATAAGCGGTTGAGGAATTCCCTTTCTAACTGATCCCAACTGTTGATAGACTCAGGTTCGAGGTCGGTGTACCAGTAAAAAACGTTACTTTTCAGTGAACGCATGAACTGTTTGACAAGGTAGTCTCCCTCTGTCCCAGCATTGTTGCAAGTTTCAATGAAATGGACAACATGTTGCTTTGGGTTGCTTTTTCCATTAACTGTATGAATTTTGGGGGTTGATAACCCCTTGGTATCTTCAAAGCATCAATCTTCTTGGAGTAAGGCTTTGAGTACAGTACGGAGTCATGTGAGCTTCCTTCGTATTGTGTCTTGATGGTGCTTGCAATCATTTCTTGTATCTGCTGGATAGAAAGAGATCTCATGAACGCCGTTACTTGGTCTAGCTTTAGCTTCTCTTCGACTTTCTTCGCTGGAGGCTCCTCTTATTCGTTGACTTCTTTCTTTGATGGATCAACATTTAGGTCGACTTGCACGTCGAGCTGCACATCTAGTTGGTTTACGAGTGCAACGATCTGCAAGTCCTTCTCTTCCACAGTCCGTGTGAGCTTTACGATTGCTTCATTCATTTGAGCTAGCTGCTCCTCGATTGAAGTTGCTCCAATGGTCATGACTTGCATGGTTGTACTACCGCTTGAGTCGGCATCGAAGAGTAAGGACTCTGAGTATTTCCTCGGACCCTCCTCTCTTGGTGCCCTTAGCGAGGCTAGGGTGATCACAGGGTCGTGCCTCAAGTGCTCTTGTTCCTTTGACAGAGTTAATGCAGGGGCGGAAGCTGCGGCAAAAAGAGCTCTTGCCTTGCTTTGGGTTATGATGCTCGAAATATCACCACTTGCGGTGATGATGTTCTTGTTCTTCACTTTGATTGCGAGAACAGCTTGATCCTTTCTTGATGTCATTTACGCTTTTTGACGATTTGAGGACAGAGATGAGAGGTAGAGATTATCCCACCGGGCATGCCAAATTTGTCAACACGAATTTTCTTGAAAAGAAGAATATGTGTACAAAAATAATATTTTATATTAATGATTTTGGGGTTACAATCTCTTTGTAATTTGGTCCTCTAATTCTATCTTCGTAAGGTGTGGGTTTGTGGATGAGTTGTTGATCCAAAGGGTCGTTGGGGCTTGATCTAGGGATGAACAGTTGATGAATGGATCTTCAAGGGCCATTGGGGCTTAATCTTGAAGAACAGTTGTTTGTTGATCCAAAGGCCGTCGAGGCTTGATCTTAGGATGAACAAGTGATGAACGATGAACACTTTCTTCAAGGACCGTCAGGGCTTGATCTCGAAGGTTGAGGGAAGTTTCTTCAAGGGCCGTCGGGGCTTGATCTTGAAGGAGGATTTTGACGAAGAACTAAGAGGGTTTTTACTGATCCTTTGAGATTTGATTGAGAGCTTTAGAGTTTGAAGGCTTCAAGGTTTTGGTGTGATGTAAATTCCTCCTTTTTTCCCTTGATGGAGAAGGCTATTTATAGGCCAAGAGAATGAATCACCACCACTCATTTTTTTTGGTGAAATGAGTGAATGTTGTAGGTAAAATAAGTGTGTGTGGGGTTGGTGAAGTAAGTGGAAGTTGTAGGTGAAATGAGTGTGTGATGTAGGTGAAACGAATGAAGGTTGTAATTTTAATACATTGTTCAACATTTATTTCACTGAAATTTCAATGTCTACAAAGACCTACATAAGAGACTTTATAATTTTCATAATTTTAAATCCGATACTTCTAGGCTTAAAAGGTTTTAAAAATTTGTTATTAACACTCCAAGTAGTCATCACACAGCAAAAAATTGTATAGAAAGAAGTAAATAATGATGTATGACGTTTTATCACAATGACAAAAAATAATCATATCCATACACCATAATCCACATTCAATTCCCACTCATTATAGAACCTGAGACAGAAACAAAGAGATATTTTGTTGGTCATTACAAAGAGGTAAAAGGAAAAACAGAATGAAGCGTATTATCTTACGAAACAGAGTCGTATTGGCTTCTCTTCTTATACTCAACGTCCTCATGGCAACTCGCTTCATCCTCTCTCGCTCGGTCCACCCTCTCCTTAAACGCCCTCCTCCTTTTCCCCACTTTGCCCCCAAACGTTTCCCCAAATCTCATCCTTGCCCCCTCTGGTCTCCCTCCTTCTCCTTCTGCCTCGCTACTCCCCACAAACCCACCACTCCCACCATTCCATCGTCACTCTCCAGTCGCTCTTGCTCCTCCCTCTCTGCCACCGCCATGGCCGCCTCCGCCGCCGCAGACGAAACTGTCGCAGCCAACCCCCTCCTCCAAGACTTTGACTTCCCTCCCTTCGACGTCGTCGACGCCCAGCACGTCCGCCCTGGGATTCGCGCCCTCTTGAAGAAGCTCGTAATATTTCTCTTCCGTTACTGGAAAATTTCAATCTTTTCATCGTATTTTATGTCGTTTGATTATTTGATGTGTTTTGATTTCTGGGTTCTTCGTGTTTTCGTTTGTTTTTGAGATTTTTGAGGATTTGGGTTATGGGGTTTTCTGGGTTTTGGATTTGATGGCTTTCATGGTGGGGTTTAAAGGAGGCTGATTTGGAGGAATTAGAGCGCACGGTGGAGCCGACGTGGACGAAGCTGGTCGTGCCGCTGGAGAAGATCGTTGACCGATTAACCGTGGTTTGGGGATTAGTCAACCACCTCAAGGCTGTTAAGGACTCCTCCGAGCTACGTTCTGCTATTGAAGAAGTCCAGGTCTGTATTTTTGGTTTGTTAGATTTTGTTTCTGTGTGTTGTCGATTTCTTGTAGTTCCATTTTACGCCTTCGAATCTCGAATTGCTGGGTTTATTTCAAAGGGGCCATGTTAGATGATATTGATTTGACTCTGAAAGTTCTACTGTTACTTGGGTCTTAATGAATGAAATTTTTGTGTTCTGATTATTCCTTCGGTTTTTGGTTTTCGTGGTGTCTTGCAGCCGGAGAAAGTTAAGTTTCAGCTTAGGTTGGGGCAGAGTAAACCAATTTACAATGCATTTAAAGCTATTCGAGAATCTCCTGATTGGCAGACACTGAGTGATGCTCGCAAACGTATAGTTGAAGGTGAGTATTCGAATAATATCGTACCATGTATAGTGGAATCTGCGCAAGTCATTTTGTTCACAACCTTGTTATTCTGGAGTAGTTGTCATTTTTGATGAACTACACATATACATCTGATCCTTGCCTTATTTTACACTTGAATAAAAATATGGCTTGCATTTTGTGCTTCAACTGGGAACTGGACTGGGAGCCCTGTGCAAAGCATGTTATTACCTTAATGTATGTTTGTAAATTCTTGATAGGATATCCAAGATTTATAATTGTCAAATCATTAAGGAACAAAAGTAACTTCTAAGCATCCTGCTAAACCAATATCCTCATAAATTTTAGTTTTTCTTTTACCTTGAGATTGTTGTTCTGTGCTTATCTTGTCTGACATTTGTCTTTTCCCTTTTAATCGTGCCTGTGCAGCCCAAATAAAGGAGGCAGTGTTGAGTGGTGTTTCTCTTGAGGATGACAAAAGAGATGAATTCAACAAAATTGAACAGGTAATTTTCAATACCATTATTAAGCAAGTACTGTAGAAGTCTTTTTGACCATCATCCTGAGTTGCTGATATTTTTCTTTTGTGAAGAAGGCTTGGTACCATTTACGATAACTCAGTATTTATCATCATCATATGAGTTGCTTCAGTTACAATGGCATGCTAATTTATGCTGCATTATTTCTCGGTAACAGTCTTATGTAGCCTTGTATGAGCACTGCATATTAACAATTCTCTCTTTTTTCTTATATTTTTTTGCGGGGGGATGAGTGGGTTGGAGACATTAGTTGGGCTTGCTGTATTAGATAAGTTTTGTTCTGACAAATAGATTTCGGGGATGATATTCTCTTTATAGTTGGGTTTCAATGTTACTTCAGTTTGGCATCTCTAAGTGCAGGAACTAGAAAGACTGTCTCAAAAATTTTCAGACAATGTTTTGGATGCAACAAAGAAGTTTGAAAAGTTAATTACTGATAAGAATGAAATTGAAGGATTGCCAGCCACTGCTCTGGGAATGGCTGCACAAACAGCGGTGTCAAAGGTAAGCCAATTCTTACCCGGACGATGGATCTTAGTATTTGTTATTTAGCTCTCTTTGTATCATCTGTTGCATCTCTAATCTGTGTATCTCATCAGGGGCATGAAAATGCAAATGCTGAGAATGGGCCTTGGATTATTACATTGGACGGCCCAAGTTTCCTTTCTGTCATGCAACACGCTCGAAACCGGGCTTTGCGTGAGGAAATATACCGTGCTTATGTAGCTCGTGCATCCAGTGGAGATTTGGATAATACTGCTATCATTGACTCGATTTTGAAACTTAGGTTGGAAAAAGCGAAACTTCTGAATTACAATAACTATGCTGAGGTACGCCAATTCATTTTGTTATATTTGGTTTGAAACTTTCTTATGATAGGGTTGCTGAGATATAGTGTATCAGGTAAGCATGGCAACCAAAATGGCTACTGTTGAAAAAGCAGAGGAGCTCCTAGAAAAGCTTCGAAGCGCTTCATGGGATGCTGCAGTTCAAGGTACATTATTGGCATACTGCATGGGAGGTTATTGCTATTATTTTTAACAGTGATCTCAATGCATGCAAGAGCTTTTCATTCTTAAAATGGATTTACCATTCACTCTTTCTGGTATTCAAAATTTTTCTTTTTGACTTAAAGTTTCCAATTTTGATTTCTAGAAATGAAGTTTCTTTCTTCTATGTTCCTTGGTTTCTCAAAGTGTCTTAGCTATTTCTGATAGCAAAGAAGGAGGAAAATGGATATAATTTAATGAAACTATGTTTAACATAAGTCGCTCACATTAGAATGATAACTGACGTTTTTTAATTTATTTATTGATTCTTGTAGATATGGAAGATCTTAAGAATTTTTCCAAGAGTCAAGACGCTCCAGAAGCTGATGATTTGAATCACTGGGACATCAGCTTTTGGAGTGAGAGGCTTCGTGAGTCAAAATTTGACATCAATGAGGTTCTCTCTTTCTCTGTGTGTGTGTGTGTCTGTTGTACTCAACTTGTAATCTTAACTGGTTTGGAATTGCATGTGTAACAAGAAATGGTGTAATTAGGATCTGCTACTCTCATTTACTTCATTAAATCTTGTATCACTTTTGTGTGATAACTTATGGTTTAAAATATTGGAGAAACATAATTGCAAAGGATTTTCTAACTCTTGCTTTCTTGTGTTCAATTTCTGTATACAGGAAGAATTGCGTCCATATTTCTCCTTGCCCAAGGTCATGGATGGCCTATTTAGACTAGCAAACATGCTTTTTGGAATTGATATTGAGCCGGCTGATGGTCTAGCGCCGGTAACATTTCAGTTGCTTCATTTGTGCTCTATTTTGGTTCATTGACGAAGCTATGAATTTGTGTCCCCTACTCATATATACATATATATATATATATACACACATTATTATATAATACGTATATATTATATAATACATATATATACACACATTATTATATAATACACATATATATATATGTACATACACTGGATACACTGATACACATGTTTTTCAGGTTTGGAATATTGATGTTAGATTCTATCGCATCAAAGACTCTTCTGGGAGTCCCATTGCATACTTCTATTTTGATCCATACACTCGTCCATCTGAGAAACGGGGTGGTGCATGGATGGATGAAGTTCTTGCTAGGAGTCATGTCTTGTCACGTGATGGTACCTCTGCAAGGTTACCTGTGGCACACATGGTGTGCAATCAATCACCACCAGTGGGAAACAAGCCCAGCCTTATGACCTTCCGTGAGGTAAATTAAATTACACTCATTTTCAGCTTACTGGTCATGACCAAAAAGCTAGAGTAACAGAAAGACTGTTTAATTAGTAGGGGGAGCGAAAATAACGGGTCAGGGGACATGGAAGAAAAAATGTGTTCTTGGTTGAACATGAATGGAATTGGAGTGGTCCTGTTTTTAAGGCCCATCATATTTTGTATGAGGAAGTGTGTCAGAAATCTGAATAGTGCATTACGGATGTCACATCAGACTGAAACGCATTCGTTAGGATCCATCCATTTAGTGGATGGAGGGACTTTAGAAATTCTGATTCAGTATGAATGAGTGCCAAGCAGGTTATTTATAATATTTTCGCACTTTTAGTATTGATGCTGTGATGGGCTTTGGTCCAATATGTATTACCAAGCCTAGGCTTGTGCTATTGCTAACAACTGACAAGTCCAGTTCTTCTACTGGGATAATTTTTTTTTCAATCACTAAACTCTTTATTATATGTTGTGTGGATAATATCAACAGCTTAGTAAGAAGGCTTTAATTTCATTGTGGGAAGAAATTCTGGGAAATTTTGGATTGGGCAGTGGATGCCGCAATTTTGTATTTCGAAGTTATGAACGACCGATCCATTTGCAGGTAGAGACTGTCTTCCATGAATTTGGTCATGCACTTCAGCATATGCTGACTAAGCAGGATGAGGGTCTAGTTGCTGGTATTCGGGGAATAGAATGGGATGCTGTGGAATTACCCTCTCAGTTCATGGAAAATTGGTGCTACCATAGGTAATCTTGTCTGCTAAAGTCGGTTGAACGATTCTGCATCTCAATTTAGATTTTATTTCTGAAATCAAGGACCTTTATACTGATTGTGTCAAAGAAGGGAGATAGGAAGAGGAAAGGGATTATGTATTCAAATATGTAATTTGCTTTATCATCACTCAACTTGACCTTTATTTCTCAAATTACTGACCTATATACTGATTGTGTCAAATATGCGAGCTATGATTTAGCAGACTTTAGATACTGGGGAATTTTGAACCACTTTGCAAAGATTCTATTTATACTTTGTATCTCAATACTAGCTTTTATGGGTAAATGGCCTGCAGGATGCAGCTACTAGTACCTTGTTAAGATTTTACATGCCCCAAAACTTGGAGCTCATTTCCTTCCATGTAGTATCAAGTGGCAGTTCCCATGATTTTATTTATCATTGTATTGGTGATTTATTTCTTGTATTGGGGCTGTAGGGATACTTTAATGAGCATTGCAAAACATTATGAAACTGGGGAGACTCTTCCAGAAGAGACATTTTTGAAGCTTCTGGCGGCTAGGACTTTCCGTGCAGGCTCCCTGAGCCTTCGGCAGGTCAGTTCAATATCTGATGTTACTTTTTCTTGACATTTTGTCTGCATTTTATATTGCTTTATATCTTTTTGTACTATTGATTTGAATATTACTTCATTTTAATTTACTTTCTTCAGGGATGCAAATCTGGATTCTTTGTTGGTTTTGTCTTGCTTTTCAAATATTATCAAAATTATCTTTGTCATTGTGCTAGACAGAAGTACACTATCGTGTGCCCTCTCTGAAGGATTTGTCTTTTATTATGGTATTAAACTCGGGTGGTGTAAGCCATTCTGGCATCTTGAAGGATTTATTAGAAACGTCTTGTCAAATTTTGAATCTGACATTTTTGTGCAATCTATTATGACTATAGAATGTTCCAAGGGTGTAAAAAATTATTTTAACGTAAAATGCATAAGTAGACTTTGGCAAACCAAATAGAGAATCAAAGAGACGAAGCATTTATTGAGATACAATCATACAATTTACGTGCAAAAGTAAGAAAAAAAAATTGGAGAGAAATCTGAACAGATAAATACAAAGGAAAACCTAATAAATGGAATAAAAATTTAGACCCTTGGTGAAATAAGAAAATGCCTAATAGAAATACTATAATACATTAAATTTCTGTATTCTTTATTCTATTTTAATGTGTACATGATTTTCACCATTTTCTTTATTGTAATAATTTTCTGCATATCATCTGTATTCATACATGACACATTTTGTCTTTGCCTTTTGCAGATAAGATTTGCAAGTGTAGATCTGAAGCTGCACACAGATTATGTACCTGGTGGAGCAGAATCCATATTTGATGTTGATCGCAGGGTTAGTGAACGAACACAAGTGATCCCTCCACTTCCAGAAGACAGGTTCCTTTGTGGTTTCAGCCACATATTTGCAGGTTTGCTTTTACTATCTAACCTTCAGCTTCTCAGAAGTGTTCCATTTTTAACTTCATATGAAGGTATATATTTATGTTCTATGAATGTCAGGTGGATATGCAGCTGGGTACTACAGTTACAAGGTATTTCTCATTCTTTCTTTTATGATAACCTACATTCAACTTTCTGAAAATTAAAAAAAAAAACAAAAAAACAAAAAACAGCTTTGCACCTTATGCTGATTTTACTTTCCGTAAGGATCTTTTTTGTGTGCTGATGAAACTCACACTATTTGTCAGTGGGCTGAGGTGTTGTCTGCTGATGCTTTCTCTGCATTTGAGGATGCGGGATTGGATAACAGCAAGGTAAGTTTGAAATACCTGTGCAGAAGATCGGAGCAATAGAGAGTAATAATTCTTGAATTATTTATGTATCACCTCCATGTAGCTCCCGGTTGATTTCTATTTACCGCCTACTGTCAAAGTCATGCTAGGCATGCTTTAACACCCATATGCGATTCTGGAATTGATCATTGCCAAACAAAACTAGGTTACATGAAGAGATACGAAGTTTTTTTTATTGGCATCTGGTAACAAGTTTGAGTTGGACGCTTGGACTAGATTGAGAGGGAAGTAACACATAACTAGGTCGGAGATTTTTGTTAACAGTCATCATCCTTAAATGTTGTACTGGTCACATGTTCTCCCATCAGTATTGAAAGTTGCACAAAACCATACACTTGTCTGATGCTTGCTGTATCTTATCGAATGTGATATAATGTTTCTGCTTTCATCTCAAAACTGCCATAAGGGCTGGGAGTTTTCAGAAGGCTTGTTATCGGAGCCATTTTAATGCATATCAGTGACTGGTGCATTATCTTGTCATTAGTCACTAATTCAAATTCATCAAGCATGTTAGACTCTGCATACTTGACCCTCCACATTCGTATATCAGTAGTGATTTTTAATGTTGCAACAGGCTGTTAAAGAGACTGGGAACAAGTTCCGAGAAACCATCCTTGCTCTTGGAGGCGGGAAAGCGCCACTAGAGGTTAGACAATCTGTTCATAGCATTACCTTTTCGTAGTTTGCCCTTTATTCTTATTGCACAATTTGTTTGCAGGAAAAGCGTTATATGGTCTACTCTCAGCCCAAGTTCCTTTGTTAATGTTATGATTGTTTGTTGTCCAGGTTTTCGTGGACTTCCGAGGTCGTGAACCTTCACCAGAACCTCTGCTCAGGCACAATGGCCTATTAGCCACAGCTTCTGTGTGAGTTACACGGAATTAAAAACGTTTACTTGGTCTTTTTCAAATCATTTTCGGTGCGTTTCAAGGGTGCTCGTATGAACCATGTATTTCTTCTCCAAGAACTTGAAAATAACAAAAGAAACGAATGCAGTAGGATTTCCTCTCTTATTTGTTTCGGTTTGTGATTACAAAAACAAAAAGTAAAGATATTAAGCTTTTTCCTCTCTTGTTTCGGTTCGGTTTTGGTTTTTAGAATCTTGTCCCGAAAGAGGTCGGTTCGGGATTCAGTTTATGCCTTTCGGTTCGGGATCCCGTCCCGAACAACCTTACTTTCACCTTGATCTATAAATTTAAAATTCTAGGTTAACGTCACATAAAAAGCACTAAAAGCCAAACATATTTTTCTTTTTCTAAAGGGAAAAACAAAATTCTAGGTCAAAGTCCCATAAAAAGCATTTAATTCTAGGTTAACGTCCCGTGAGCAAACTCGACCATGCCTAAGAGGCACGGCCTTCCCGCTTGGCATCCATAAATGAACAGTGAGGGAAGTAACGAGCCTTCAACACCTTTGCCCACAGTGGCTCAGATTTCTGGATTAGATGTCAACATTGTTTTGCTAAGAGGGCAACATTAAAATCCATGAAGCTTTTGAAACCTAGCCCCCCTCGAGCCTTCGGGAGTCCAAGAGTTTCCTTGAATACCTAGTGTATATGTTTCTCCCCCTTACATGCCCCCACCAGAAATTAGTAATCAAGGAATCCATTTCTTTGCAAATTGTGGCAGGAAACTTGAACAGGTTCATCGGATAGGCCGGGATAGCCTGAACCACCGCCCTTAATCAAAACCTCTCTGCCAGTCTACGATAAGATAGCATGCTTCCATCCCTGTATTTTTCCCAATATCCTGTTCTTAACATAAGCAAGCCCATTTCTTTTTTATCTCCCCCACATGGTAGGCACACCAAAGTAAGTTATCAACAATTGGAATTCCAAGGATACAACCAAGCTTCTCTGATAAAACCACGGGAACATTAGAACAGAAGAACACACTAAACTTTTGAAGACTCACCTGTTGCACCGAGGCCTCACAATACTCCTTAATTAATTTCACAAGATTGCTACAATTCTGCTTGTCAGCTTTGATTAACAGTAGGGTATTGTCCGCGAAGAAAATATGCGATATAGTACGCCCACGATGATTGATTTGAACTCCCAAAACATTTAGAAAAAACTTACACATATTTATTTCATTGATATGAAACGCCATCCGTAATGATTTACTCGTGTCTTGTAAGCAATTCTCATAAATTAAAGTAATTTACTTAATAAAAAGAGAGAAACCAAAAAACAAAAAAAAAAAAAGAAAAAGAAACCACCTCCAACGACAGATGAACTACTGTAATAATAATGCACCCAACCGAGTAGCTGCTTGGCTTCCTTTCGAACAGAGCAGTCTGTAGATGAAGCAATAATCAATTTTGTACTGAGTTTGTTGGATGGTTGATTTCCCTGGTGTGAGAGAGAGAGAGGGAGAGATCAGAGATGGCGCGGGCAGGTGGGATAACAAACGCAGTGAACGTAGGGATAGCGGTCCAAGCCGATTGGGAAAATCGCGAGTTCATCTCCCACATTTCTCTCAACGTCCGCCGCCTCTTCGATTTCCTTGTCCAATTCGGTAATATCAACCCCCTTCCTCTCTTTTGTTCTTTACCTTGACTTACTTCTGCTGCTTTCATGGTTATTGCTGAATTTTGTGCTGACCCATCTGAGATTTGGACTTGTTTACAATCAAGTTGATAGCTTTGGTCAATTTGCTGATTAGGGTTTCTCTGATTTTTGAGATTTGGGGCTGATTTTAGACTAGCAAACATATCCAATTTGTTTTCATTGCATGTTAACTTGAACCGTAGCTAAAATCGCACCTGGTTTTACCCAAGATTGGGTTCTAATTTACCCGATTTTCGATATCTAAATAGATAGAAATGAGAGTTAACATGTGCCGGATTTGATCTTCGAAATCAAAGGAATGTGGCGTTGTTAATCATCTTGTTCAAGCATTATGCTTTTGTTTGACTCATCTCTTCTTCTTGCAGCCTTACTTGAATCTTTCCTTTGATGCATTGTTTGAACAACTACTTTACCCGACTTTAACCTAATCGTTTATTATGTTCGGAAATAATTTTTCCCTTGCCTATTTTTGTCCCGTGATTCTGTTTGATTTATCCAATCCAAAGGTTGAAAATAAGCAGGGGTCTGTAAGGGGAGAATAAGGGTGTGAAAATCAGTTCCCTGTTACGTAATCATTTAGTTTGCCGGAATCTTTGCATCTGGTTTTGAATCTGCATTTCTGCTTTTGGTATGTTGGTTAGATTTAGGTTGAAATGGACATTTCTCTTCTTTTGGGAGGTGGGTTGGATTACATTCCTGGACTAATTCTTGTGTTTCTTGTTATTTAAGAGGCCACGACAAAGAGCAAATTGGCGTCATTAAACGAGAAGCTTGATGTATTGGAACGTAAACTAGAACTTCTTGAAGTTCAAGTGGGTACTGCATCAGCCAACCCTTCACTTTTTGCTCGTGATGCTTAGCAGATCATGCCATTGTCATAGACTATAGCATACACGGGTTTCCTGTAAGCATTCCTCCTGTTTATAGTGTGGACATGAACATATTTCTTCACCTTGTAATGCTGTTCAACATCAATCTATTCATTTCTTCTCATTTTATTTGAGTAGAAGATATATCATTGTTTGTCGTGAGATTATTTTGTGAATTATACGCTTGAAACAAAGCATGCTCTGGTTAGAATCTTTTATTTTCTCTTAGAATTACATCCATGGAAGTATTTTCTTTTCCTCATTCCTCAATGCGCATTCCGTAGACATGGAATAATTTCATCCGTCCACTTGCTCACTTCCCATATAAGGAGTAGAAAACCAAAAGGAAGAACATCAAGAAGTAGAAACAAAAGAGAATTTCTTGAGAGAAAAGAAGTCCATTCAAAGCGCCCAATGCACACAAGGTATGCATTGGGGCTTACTCTAAGGTTAAGGGCTTGATCCCTTGCACGACGTTGAGTAATTCCTAATGCATACCTTGTACGCACTTGGCAAGTGCTGACACCTAGGAAAGTCTATCCTTTTAGGCAAAATGTAATGGGCATCATCAGTTGATGTGGTCAACGGCCGAAACCTTTTAGAAACTGGTTTTCCTTGTATTCATAACATCAACGTTACATGATTTATATATAGGGGGCAGATCCGTGGCACCATATTTTTTACACAAGATTTGACACAAATTTTTTACCATTAGATCCGTGGCAACAAAACAAATCATTCACAAAGGACGGGTGAAAAGCATTCACTATCTTGGCTCTGGAGGAGCCATTTGTGACAAAATAGATGACGGTTCTGAAGGAGTGGGTGGCGGAATCCTTCTCTCCATCACCATGGAAAAGCGATTGGATCCCGAGCTCTCTATGGATCTCATGTATTCTGATGCGTTGTTCTCTATAATCAGAGCATCCTCTAGCTCCCTTACGATTTCCATCATGTTTGGTCGTGAAGCGGCAAAGGGCTCAATACATGACAATGCCACCTCCACTACTCTCCACATGGCCTCGGCATGGTACGCTCCTTTTATGTTCGGGTCAACAATTTCATCAATCTTTGATTCCCTTACATAGGGTTTTGCCTGCATGCAAATGTCTCTCTTAGTTTTCATTTCTTTACTATCTTCAGAATTATATTTAATCTTTGTGGAAGAAAGAAAAGGGTTGAAGTCTCTGGCCAGTATGGGAGAATGTAGAGTGATGCAAAAGGTCAATGAGCACATGATCAAACATACCCATTCAACCAAACTCCACTCGGGGCGTGGCCTGTGTATGTTCAGAGGTTCCCGTCCGCTAACAATTTCAAGCAGAACAACGCCAAAGCTAAAAACATCACTTTTTGCTGATAGATGATGAGTCATGTAGTACCTGAACAATAGAAAATTGACATGATCAGGTTCTGATATTATGTTAATTTGATTATTATGTTAATTTTTAAGTATTTTATCACTTGGCATTGTGCCTAAAATATAAACAGGAAATACTACAATATGGTTTCATATTCTGGTATTTAGATTCGAGAATATCGTAATTTTCTCCATCTCATTCTTCTCCTCGAATTCCTCTTTTCCCTCCACAACCTCTCTTTGATCTTCCTCTCTCCTTTTTGCATCTCATTTCCTTTCTGTCCTACCTTTACTCATATCTGAGTGGTCTTGTAGTTCAACATATCTATAGTATATAGACTCTTAGGTTGAAGAGACAATCTTACTCCGGATCCAAGTATCCCGCCGTCCCTCTTACTTCAAGAGAAGCACAACTGTCACCTTCTTGAGGAGCGTATTTTGAAAAACCGAAGTCCGCCACCTTGGCAGTCATGCTATGGTCCAGAAGTATATTACTTGATTTCACATCCCTATGTATAATGCAGCGACCGGCAAAATTGTGAAGATGCGTCAAACCTGAACAGTGAAACTACTCATCAGAGGTTTTGATATTCTAAATGCTCTCATGGAAAAGATGGTGAAATCAATAAAACAACCAGAAATGAGGTTATAACATGACGAAAATTTAGAGTTGGTATGCCACAAATATAAAATGCTACTAAGTAGAACTTGACCGAAGCCGGACCAAAATCCCAGAGCACAAAATGAGTTGCCAAATTTCAGGTCCTTCAATATATGGAGGTCCGACGATAACAAGTATCAATCCATGGTAACATATCTATTCTGCACATTCAGACCTTACAAGTTTACGAAAAATGCTTCCGGTATCAGTATGCTATTCATTTCTTTTTTAATGAACAAGGGACATTCGCATGACATGTAACAAATTCATCAGGACTTCATGCTCTGTTCCCATTTTCAGAGCCTAGGAGTAGAGCATAAAAATACGGCTAAATATGCTAATAGTAGTATCAAATACTCTATATCACTTGCCTCGAGCAGCACCAAGAGCAATTGAGAGTCTGGTCGGCCAGTCCAAAATTTTTCTTTTTGCTGCTTCCCCTGAAAATAATACGTTTTCAGTGTTTTTTTTTTTTTTTCCTTTTGTTTTCAAAGACCATTAAACGGTATTAGTCGAAAGAAACAGTGACGTGATCAGTACCATAGAGACGATCCTGTAATGAGCCATTGGACATAAATGGATAAACCAGAATTTCTTGGTCATTTTCGCAACAATAACCGAGAAGGGGCACAAGATTCTCATGGCGAATAGCTGACAGAAGATTTAGCTGTGAAGTACATTAAAAGAACTGTCATTTACATTTTAAGGCATATTTAAGTCACAAATGACGGTTGATTATGGCAATATATAGAATAGTGATGAGAAATCTAGGTATAGATGGGAACGCTATTACCACACCCAAAGTGTTTAACCCACCCTCAATACTGGCACTCTCACATTTTACAAGAACAAAGCTATAACCACCATTACCAAAGAGTAACACTATTGCCACGCCCAAATGGTAGATAATAGTACGACTGTTGCATAAAATAATGAAAAGCTATAACCGGAAATGGTTAAAAATAAAAATAGAATATCCAACCTCATTCTCAAATTCCCGAGTTCCTTGGGTTGATGTCGCTGACCGGACCTTCACTGCCACTTCCTGACCATCAATTAGAGTGCCACGGTAAACAGACCCAAAACCTCCTTCGCCTATCAATGTTCTGTACCTTTGGGTAGCAGCCTCTATGTACTCAAGAGTAAATGTCTCTATGGATATCGACTTCATAACCAGATCATCCATGCTCGGTAACGAAAAAATTAAATCTGCAGTTTGAGGATTTCTATATTCAGAGGCTGCAGATTTAAAAAAGCCAAATACAATCTCCAAAAGTGCCTCAACTAGCCTGACCGTGAAAAACGTCTTCACTTTGCAGTTAATTAACACACCCATTGTTTTTTCTTTACTGAAAGAAGAAAGATATGTCAATCATGTCATGTCCCAGGACAGTCATAACTAGACTTGATGAATTAAGGACATTTTTCATATCCTTGTACATTCAGTCGTAACTAATCTAGAAGCTATATACCAGAACAGTCATAACTAGATTAACGTGCAAAATCATGTCCCAAAACAAGCTAGCAAAGCTTGTAACCTTCTCACAAGCTTACATAGACTAAATGTGTTGAAATCTCAAGTTATCTATACTTTATGTATTAAAACTAGCTCTGATTATACTAATAATTATTGTAAAATAAAATTAAAATAGGATTTCTCGTTTCAAGATTTATATGAAAATTCACATTTGTAATACAGTGTAAACATCGAATACAACATATGATTAATAGCATTAATATTAATGCTAGTTACTGAGTCCACTATAATTTTCGTCTGACTTGTATTAATTTAACCTTAAAAACTGCAAGAACTATTAGAAAGCAAGAATTTTTTATTTCCTTTTATTGTGGTGGGGACAAATTTTCCAGATGAGAAATTTTTTTTTTTTCTTTTATGTCAAAATAAAAACAAAGTTGGTTGTTCCTAGAATCTTAGGGATATGTTTGGGGTGAGGGATTTCCAAGTCATGGGATTGAAACCCAATTAATGAAAGGAAAGATCACAAATTGTTGGATAGGAGGGATTAGGAAGTGCATAATATGAGCATTACAAAGGCATATGAGCGGAATTAGCTAATCCCTCATTGGAAGGTGTTATTTGCAAATCCCTCTTACATGCCTAATCCCTCCTGTTCAACATTTTGTGATTCTTTTCTTTATAATTTGGTTTACAATCTCATGACTGGGGAATCTCTCATCCAAACATAGCCTACAAGCATAAGTGCAATACCAAGAGCAATAAAGCGTGTAATGCACTCACTCTTTGTCATATGATGTTGTTTCATATCAAAATTTCCTTGAGGCAGAAAGTTTCGTCTCCAAGTGTAGAAAATTATCCCAACTACAATGGTTAATAGTAGAGACCCAGATGCAGCAGCAGCACCAATGATGATTCGTTGATTAGAAGCTTTTTGAGCACTGCAACTTTCTTGGCTGTAATATAGAGAGACAAATTTCAGAATTTTTTTAAAATACTTCTAGTTATTCTTCAATTAAAAAGTTTCATTCGGATGGATAGACAATAAAAATCGCACCCCATGGTAAGTGTTGAGCCATTGAAGCTGGAGGGAATATCTTTTGCGACATGAGGGTTGCAACTGATATTTCTGTCGATGAACCACATGGAAATGAATGGAGGCATGTCTAATGTTATGTAGCTAAACTTGTATGCGACAAAGAATATAAAAGAGCTTACAGTATATCCAAATGTGGCAGTGAGATAAGAGATATTGGAAGTGATCCCCAAAGGTCATTGAAGCTCAGATCCCTGATGACATGAAGGTAATCAGGGATACAAAAAAAAAAATCAGAAATGAGTCATGCAGAACTATGACTGTTCAGAATACCTAAAATTGAAGAGAAGTACATAAAGAACCTTAAAAATTAAAAAGTGAAATTGAGCAGCTAGTCTTAACAACTTTTTTTTTATCTAAACTATAAAATCAGAAGATCAAACATCAAGGGCCAATCATCACTTTATCTCCAAAGATAGTACCAGAAAATAACTACAACCTTTCAACTACTATTTTAGTAGATATTTTAGAATTTCATATGGTTTGTTTTCATGCAAGTATACAAATTGGAAATATGTGAATGTCCTTGTAAATTTAGTATCAGCACAATATCCGGGATGTTATCTTCCTAAGCATGCCCAACACAGGTATGCCACAATTGATCCATGAAAGAAAAGGACACTTTCCTACAGATCAAGGCCAGATTTATGGATTAAGCCAGTTTAGAAAGCTTAACATTATTGGCTTATGTCATGCCATATTTAGGGATTACACAATGGCAGTAAGTAACGGTAGAAGGTAACATATGGAGGCCTTTCCTAGACATCACACCGTGACCTTAAATGATTTTACCGAAGCAATACAAGCTGTTCGCAATTTTTAGACCAATCTCTTCTATTAATAAATATTCCAAATGTTAGTATTCCATGGCTGGAGATGGATAACAATTTATTAAATCACCAACTGAGACTGCCATTCAAGACTGAATTTGAAAGAGAAATCTACACTGAGGTCAACAGGGAGGAAGGAAGAAATGCTGGAATGTTGCCAGTAAAGTCATTGTGGCTAAGGTTCCTGCACATCACAAACAAAAGAAAGCAATACATTGAAATTAGAGTTATAGTTACTCGGTCAAGTGCAAAATCCAAGGGGCGCTTCAAACATACAGGACTCTTAGATGGGCCAGCTTAGTGATACTTGAAGGAACTTGCCCTTTAAGAAAGCCGCCCCTCTGAATACCTGACGATAGATCCCTGAAATTCGAAATCATGAGCAAAGTTATATGTGAAATACATCTAAGAAAGCACAAGCAATTAATCTAATGAATTATCAATTTCCGGTGAAAGCTGACAACCGTCTTCTTTTACCTACTTTGCAATCAAACTTTCTTTAGTAATTTAACAAGAACCTAAAAAATCATTATCAAATATTCTATGTTAAACTTATTATGGTTTTTAAGGAATTTATTACAATTCTGGATTTATGGTCTTTAACAATACATTTTTGTCGAAAAACCCGATAAAACTTCACTCCCAAAGCATCCCGCAGCACTGAAAACTAGTATAATTCAATACAAATGCCATATTCTCATGATTCCATGAAAGCTATTTGCAGAACTTCTAAGAAAATGGAAACAAATAACTTACAATACAGTAATGACAGCATAACCACCAACGGAACCACAAGTAATACCATCCCATGGAACTGGAAGACATGGACATCCAGACCACCCTTCCCAAACTTCACTCTCTTGGTTACTCTTCAGCACCTCATTTTTCACCTCCAAAATCACTTCCACTGTAAAAAAAATTGCCAGTGATTAGAACACCCAGTTAATTACTACAAAGACCCAATTGGAAGCTATAAAATCCAGTGAAAAAAACCCATCTTACCATCACTTTTATTAGTCTCTGGACGCCTTGGAAGCACCTTCAAGATCTCATAAGCATTGCAAATGGGTCCATTTTCCGACCCGGAGACCTTAACCAGAGTCAAATTCAGAGACCCATTTGCCGTGACAGTGAAAGAAAGCTCCTTGTAGTTGGACCCATTTCCCGAGACGTCAAATCTCCGCTCTTTCAGCTCATCGTTGAGGAAAATGTCGAACACCCTCTGGCCAGCTTGGACGGTCCGATCGACCTCGTAGAAGTAGAGGAACACGAGGTACTGGTAACTTTCTGTGGGAAGGCCATTGTGGAGAAGGAGCAGTTGGTCTGGAGCCGCTAGAGCTGTTTGCAGGACTTGCCGAGGCGGAGACGCGGTGGCGTTGCCGGAAATGGAGACGTTGGGTTGTGATAAGTAGTAGGTTCCAGTTCCTGAGTCGGCACTTGGATGTGATTTCCAAATTCTGTCACTTGTGTCATTTGGGTACCTGAAAATTACCAACCCAAAAAATATCATAGGAGAGCAACTTTGAACTTTGCCATGTTTAAATGTTTGGTTAAATAATATATTGTTAAATAAGAAATTTACACATAATAATACTTTATTAAATTGGTGTTTAGAAATGCGATTTTAACAAAGTTATAGTGTGAACTACTCTACCTAACAAGGAAAGAGGATTGAACTTAAGTGCAACAAGAAGAAAATATTGTCGTGACCAACTTACCTTATACATATTTGCCAACATGATTGTACTTTCAACTTTTAATTGTGGAAAAAATTTCTTAAAAGACATTCTACATCATTTACTAATGTAATGATATGTAAAATATGAATATCATGTATGGTATGTGACATGTCATGATATCTTATATCAACAAAGATTTTGTTTGAATCTGGAACGTAGCATGTTAAAGAATAAGACTCTACCCATCAATTGCGTAGAAGTTAATTGAGCGTTGAGGAAATAATAGTGTGTGTCCTATGATTTCTCTTGACATATTTGAGTATTTACAATTTAATGTGTCCATCATACTAAATAGTAACATATATATATGACACATAACAACATACATTCCATTTTGTATATGATTTCTAAATATCATTGCTCCTTTTGTTACTATTACAATATTCCTCATTCGTAGATGCATGCAAGTGTGTCACATGTTACGAGCCACCAATAGCATAAAGCAGTTTACATGTGAGTTTATCTACCTAGATTTGGCATAATTTAAAGTATTAAACTCATTTTAAATATGTGTAAACAAGTTGTCTGACACATAAACTAAGATATGTATTTGAGATTTGATGATTGAAATTTGTGAATTGGAGATAATTGTAGCAATGATCCCTCAACTTTAACCCAATTGGAGCAATGGTCCCTCAACTAAAAATTCATGACCATTGGTCCCTTAACTTATCAAAATGTGCAGTTATGATCCTTCTCGTCAACTCCGTCAAAATTCCATCAAAATGACTCATGTTGAAGCACCATTGCTACAATTGGGTTAAAGTTGAGGGATCATTATTGCTACAATTGGATTCAGCCTCATGTGCATAGCACATGACTTATTTTGACGGAAGTTCTAATGGAGTTGACGAAAGGACCATATCTACACGTTTTAATGAGTTAAGAGACCACTAGTCATGGATTTTTAGTTGAGGGACCATTGTTCCAATTGGGTTAAAGTTGAGGGACCATTGCAACAATTTCCTCTTGTGAATTAAGAAGACGTAATCGTTGTTTTCAGGTACTAATTTTTGTTTAATTACACTTTAAGCTAACACCCTTGTTCCTTGGCTTTGAAGAAATCAAATAGAAAGCATACCTGATATCATCTTTTGTAATTGCAAAACTACTTCTTGTAACCAATTTCAGAACACTTGAAGGGAAGTCCTCTAAATAATATTTCAATCCCTGCAGAGGCCTCAACTCAACCTCTGAAATATAGGGAGTTCCCTTGCCATACACCAAGCATAAGTATGTATTGTCCTCGGTAGCTCGAAAAATCCCTTCAACAACTGCTGAGTCCTCTGACGAATCTACGACACCAATTGGGGTCACACCAACCGAAACTGAAAAACTAGAGCTCCAAATGTGTCCAAATAGAAATGTAGCCCTAATCAGATAGTCTTCACCCTTTTTTGTTGATAGCTTATAACATCTTTTCTGGTTTGAATTTTGGTAGAATACTCTACTTCTGTTGTAACCGGAATAGTCTGCCTTTGACGGAACTCTTGTGTGACAGCCTGTGGTATTCGGAAACTGATTAAAGTCTGATATCCAACTAATGTTTCTGCTATCTGTGTAATTCGATTCAGCGCAGCACGCAATGCTCACAAAGCTGCCTGCGTAACAAAGCAGATACTACATGAATTCTTGTTAAGAACATTGGGGTTGAAATTAAACCTACTCCGGAACATGTTAGGAAGAATCGAAATATATGTGACTAAATCTCGAAAACCCTAGTTTCAAATCTTCGAAAAGATCTGCCGTTGCAAAATGTTATGTCATTGATCTCCAATATTATGACATGAGAAAAATCAATCTGTTACAAGAGTTGACTCATTTTCTTTCTACCTAATTTCTTGATCATATCAGGAGGTTTGAAACCGAGTCTCAAGGGATGAAATATGGATCACAGTTATTATAATTATAGAATCATGTACAAATCTGAAAACCATAATTACTATGTTGATCTCTTAATGATGATCATGAATATGCTTACCTTCATCTGCAGAAGTGGATGGAACAAAAATGAAGAGGCAGATGATCGAAAACTCGATTAGTCTTAAAACCCAATATTCAAATTTCTTCATCATCGTTTTATCTTAGGCCGACGTCGCCCCATTTGGTAATCAAACTCATAACCATGCCAACATATGTGACCTGTTTTTTCAGATTCCACCAACTATACACAACAAGCTCTTATAAATTTCATCAAAATCACCCGCTTTCCAGCTTGCGAAATTCCTCACCTCAGTCAACTTGACCGAGATCTTCGACTAATTTCCACCAACTTACATGTAATTAGTAAAACAAATTAAGCATCATGATCGTGGCTGAAAAATACACACTTGTGACAAAGATGTATATGTAGCAAGCTAAAAAGTTGTTAACATGGAATTATGATATTGGAGCTGCAGAGACAAAAGAGAATCAAAAGGGTTGGGGGAATAGGAGAGGGAAGAGATCTGGGAAAATGGTTTGACTTGTAATGTGGAGGAGCAGCGCAAAACCGAAGAACAAGGAAGAAGAATGAGTGTTTCTGGATTAGAATAATACAATGTTTAATCAAACAATTATTTAAAAAATTATTACAGTTGTTTCTTATACTGGTGGATGATGCTTATTATAAATTCTCCAATTAAACAAAATGTTTTTTAATAACAAGGTGGAGCAACCCTTCGTCTGTCTCCTTGTCTGTTACCATGGAAGCAACATCACAGAAGTTGGGTTTTGGCTTTCTCCGGTTAAAAACCATATTGCATTTTACTATTGTAAATTTTTTTGGTACAACGATTGCATTAGTGGTTGAATAGTTAGTTTTTAGAAGGGAGGGAAATTGATGGGGATTGAATTCACACTAAAGGATATATGCATAATTACGTTCTGCTACTGCGATAAAGCGCTATGTGCAGATGCTAAGTTAATTATGTAAACGTGAGGTCAATGCTTGATTTTTTTTTTCTTTTCTTTTTGTGCTAATGCAAAAGTTAATTATGTAAACCTAAGGTCAATGCTTAATTTTCCAGTACGTAATATGAAAATTGCTAAGAATATCTCTAAATAAGATGTCAAAATGTTCAAATCAACAGTCAAAATGTTCAAATTAGCACTAACAGTCAAGAACGGCAAGAACAACATTTTCCAACTAAAAAGTGAATTTTGATGTGCATGACATGGATTGGCAACCGTCACCCTTAGTGCTAAAATTGACAACAACTTCAAATCTATGTAAAAGTGCCACATAAACTATTAAATTAAACTTTATATTTAAAATTTGACATCTCAAAATACTCTAATTTATGAAAAGAGATTCAACAGGAAGAGGGTCAAGCCATTGAAAAGGCACTCTCCATACATGTTCGTCAATTTTTCTTCTAAATTATGGCATCATTTTAGTAAGAAAAAAAAACATAGTAATATTAGTATGATTTTCATTATTTTTAAATTGGATTTGTCTCCAATTATTTTATATTGTAAGAAAACAGAAGGAGCAAATTCATATTAAATATCAGTTTAAATATGGTGATAAGGAAAAATATGAACTTCAGGAAAAACTACCAAGCACAATCCATTGGTTGTTAGCGTTAAAGGAGCTATTTTCGTTGCAGGTGGACATGGTGAGCACTCGGTTGCAGTATGAGTAAGAATTTGGCTCTCAATGAAAGCACAAACTGTTGAAACTAAATTTGCGCACCATAGTAGATGGAGGAGTGCAAGAACAATCACTTGCAAAAGAGAGACATGAACCGTGAATCCCTAGGGCAGTGGCGTGGTACCAACCAAAGGTTCTCCAATAGTCAAGGTAGTCATGGTCTTAGAACTCAAGCAGTAGGCTAGAGAGCGAGAGAGTGATATGTAGGAGATTGCACATTACCAACGCACCTTTGAGGAGCCCTAAACTAGTATATTTATAGCGATCGTGTGAAAGTCCGTTTAGGATAGTGAATCCATGTAAACCAGGAGAATCCTAGCCAATATCTAGCAATAGATATTCTTTCCTTATAAGATTGTGATTCCTTGAGGCTAAATCCAATATCTAGATTGTAGGAATCTCATCAAAAACCATTCAATTGAAATGAATGTTGTGCCTTACGGAGCAAACATGGTCATTCTCAAGAAAACTTGCAGGCCTTACCAACCAGTACAAAACCCAATTGGGTGTGGTGGCACCGTTGGTCCATTTATACAATTAGTCCAATCGAAGCCGTTTAAACAATGATTGGACTATGAAAACGCTCTTATTACGATACGCCTTACTTTGGATCAGGAAAATTCATGGTCCCACACTTGCAAAGCTTAGAATATTTCACTCAAATATGTACAACTTATAAGTTTTGAGTCAAAATTTGGAACAATTGCTTTTGAAACAAAAAAAGTATATTGGGGAAAATTTGTATTAATCAACAAATTCCTCTTTTTTTTTTTAGGCGAAAACGGTAGAAATTTTATTAAAAATTAAACGTTACAATCTTCAAGTAAAACATCACAGATAATATCTGGATGTTGAATAAAGAGAAAAAACTCAACATCATAAAAAAGGCTAACTTGGCTAATCTACGAGCCATAACGTTCGCAGAGCATCATGCATGAATAATAAGTAAATTAGGGATGGAAAAAACGTCTTGACAGAAAGGAAAGTCGAGGTTCCATGCACTAAGCAAGCTTTCCTCTTTCTTCTAGGGTTGTTTTCTGACCAGGGGGCTGAACCCCGCCTTTCACTTATTAATCTTATTTGGTGAAATATGAGTTTATCTTTGCTCCCACTGAAACATGTAAATTATACACAAAAAACATAAAAGATCAATGATTGGGTAGAATGTTTTGCTCTACTATTTATTATATTATACCAAATGAAAAAGATTCAGCGCTTATAATCTGTTTAACTGTTGATTAACATCAAAATATTAATTAAGCAAAATCATTAACCTAAAGAATAGTACCCTTTTGTTAATGCCGACCATGACCTATGAACTATGACTAAAGCCATGGATTTTGATTTTATATGGGTCAAACAATTTATATATTAACTATTAAGTTGTAGTCTGGTCTTCTGTGCACAGCGACGTGTGGGTCGATGCCTCCAACACATTGCTCGCATATCCAAAGCATCAACTTTGTTTTTGACAAAACAAGTATTAAACTTTGTCAGTTCTCAATATAATTTGGCCAAAACATTGACAGGATAACATTTCTTTTGGTTTGTTCCCTCTACTATGTAATTATTTTTCTTTTTATTTAGACTGACATGTTTTGTTTATCAAATTAATTTCCGATAATATATTCACGCGTAATTTCACCTAAAAGTATGATGATTTAAAGTCTGTAATCTCTTTACACATTTCAACAAACAGTTTCTTTTCATTCTTATTGTTGTTGACGAAGAAAGAAAAACCAAACAACTGTGTTTTCAGTTGTTACTAATTCATGTGGTTTACATTTGTTAACCAATATGCTACACGCACCACCAGTTTCATGCAATTGGACATAAAAACAATATATTGCAGCTCTAAACATAATTTCAAATATTAAGCAAAAGAAGCTAGCAAGAGAAATTAACAGTTCACTTTCACAAATCATAACTTAGAAAAGCAAATTGATCTACATGATGATCGCACTCTCTCGTCCCTCTGTGATTTCTTTCTACGTCCTCTGGTTCTTGGACGCGAAACGAATGACTATGTAAAACAAAACCCTGTACAGAACAGTCATGCCCAACATTATGTACACCTTCTCCCATTTCTTTACTTCAGAGTGGGTGTGTTGTCCGCCGTAATCTATGCGAAGCCCGTCCAAGATGTCAAAACCGGTAATGTTGGTCCCGTCAGAGTTTTTTCCAAAAGTATCGTCAGTTTGGTACTGATTCATTATAAGTCCTTCATATGGATATGTCATGGTGGAGACTTTGTTCATCCATACCCAGTAGCCAGGGATGTCATGGCTATTCAAGAAGTAGCCACAGAACAAGAAGAACAACGCAGTGAAGGCAATGACGGCTGCATATCCCAAGATGTAATTGGGCACAACTGAGCTGACAAACACCACAAATGAATTGGTTGAGAGGAGAGAAACATAGAGAACCACTAAAAAGTATATGAATGGCCCTCTAAGTCGCAAGGCAAACCAAACAATGCCAGCGTAAACAGATGCTTGCAACGCAAGAAAGGGGAGATATGTTACTAGGCCTGCAATTGTGTATGAGGAGGCTCTGTAGGTATTGTGAGCAGTCTCACGGACGAAGATGAAGCGCTCTTGGATGAAGGCTGGGACAGCGTCGTTTGATGAGAAGAAGAAGAGGCAGACAGTGAAGATGAAGAAACTGAGGCGATTGGTTATGCCTTGACTGGTAGCTGGTGGGTGTAGGAACATGGTGGCCATCAAGAAGCCCATGAATGTGAGGACTACTAGTCTTGAGAGGAAGAGCTCGGGCGTCCGCCTGATGTTGATGAAGTTACGCCTCATGAGAATCCAAGTCTCCGGGAAGAATGAGTTGGCGAATTTGGGACCAAGATGGTGGTATGACTTGGTGTTTGGACCAAGATCTGGGGTCCGATAGTCATTTTCGTCCACTGTGTAGTCACTGCTACGGGGTGTTGGTGTGCTTGGAAGAATCTCACTCGAATAGTTGTAGCCTGGGGATGCACTGCAACATAATACAATGCGGTTTTATTTAGGCTTTGAGACATCAAATTTTCAATTAAGCATAAAAACCAGAGGAAGATTCTGATCAACTATTGACAAATGTGATTAATTCGGTGGAAACAATTAATCACGTTATATGAAATATGCTCGACCCCCAAAAGCGTAAAATGGGGACACTATAAGTGCATAGATCTCTGGTATCATGTAAGACAACTATTCAAGCTTAATTGTATGAGTTAACCAACGTAAATTAATCCAACACATTTAGCATCAAATTTGAAACATGACATTTTTCATGTTGACTTACCTCAGACTCATGGGGCTTTGCATCTTTTGACCTGCTCGTTGCCTTGAAGGGGTAAACATCTGCAGTTTCTGCATAACTCCACCATGGCTTGGAGTCCATGACCTTGAATTATTATTACTGTAAGGACTTCTCACACTGTGATCAAAA